CTAAAAGTAAAGAAAGAAAGAAAAAAAAAAAAAAAGAAAGAAAGAAAGAACATGACAAAATTGCAGAAAGAAAGAAAGAAAGAAAGAAATAACATGACAAAATTGCAGAAAGAAAGAAAGAAAGAAAGAAAGAAAGAACATGACAAAATTGCAGAAAGAAAGAAAGAAAGAAAGAAAGAACATGACAAAATTGCAGAAAGAAAGAAAGAAAGAAAGAAAGAAAGAACATGACAAAATTGAAGAAAGAAAAAAGAAAGAAAGAAAGAAAGAACATGACAAAATTGCAGAAAGAAAGAAAGAAAGAAAGAAAGAAAGAACATGACAAAATTGCAGAAAGAAAGAAAGAAAGAAAGAAAGAAAGAAAGAACATGACAAAATTGCAGAAAGAAAGAAAGAAAGAAAGAAAGAAATAACATGACAAAATTGCAGAAAGAAAGAAAGAAAGAAAGAAAGAACATGACAAAATTGCAGAAAGAAAGAAAGAAAGAAAGAAAGAAAGAACATGACAAAATTGCAGAAAGAAAGAAAGAAAGAAAGAAAGAAAGAAAGAACATGACAAAATTGCAGAAAGAAAGAAAGAAAGAAAGAAAGAAAGAAAGAAAAAGAAAGAAAGAACATGACAAAATTGCAGAAAGAAAGAAAGAAAGAAAGAACATGACAAAATTGAAGAAAGAAAAAAGAAAAAAAGAAAGAAAAAAGAAAGAAAGAAAAAAAAAGAAAGAAAAAAAAAAGCAAAAAGAAAAATGTAAGAAAAAATACAAATATATCAAATGCCTTGGCTCTTAGTATCTCCGCCATTTCAATCTGTTACTATGGCAACAAATTTACTCCGGATAAATGATACTTTATGATTTTCAATTTATCTTGCTAATTTCACTTCTTATATTTATTTTTTATTAATCTCCCCAGTGATTAATTACTCAGTCGAACTGAAGTTGTCTTCAAATCCACTCTCCTGAGACATTTTAAATCAACACAAAGATTATATTAACTCTTACAATTCTATTTACTTACTTCGCGACAAAGCGATCTAAATCCATAGCATAAGAGTTCAACTATATAATTTTTGCAGTAATATTATTGTCTTTATTAGCTATATAATTCTTTGATTTTTGTCGTTATCTTCTTTATCAGCCATATAATTCTTTGCAATAATATTATTGTCTTTATCAGCTATATAATTCTTTGAAATTATACTATTGTCTTTATCAGCCATATAATTCTTTGCAATAATATTATTGTCTTTATCAGCCATATAATTCTTTGCAATAATATTATTGTCTTTATCAGCTATATAATTCTTTGAAATTATACTATTGTCTTTATTAGCTGTAAACGTAGGCTGTATAATATGAATAACTGTATGTGTTGTCCAGATAATATCATCAAAATACATACGTTCAAACTTTTACTTTCAAATAAGAAAAATAAAATAAACACATGCGTTCGTATTGAACTCTTAATTTATTCTTTATGGAGCATGGGTGTTGGTTAAGTTTAAGTAAATTTAAATTTCGTCACATAGATCTTGTAAAAAAATGATTATTATGATCTAATATCGCTCTGCCATTCATTATTTCTTACAGTTTCGAAAGCCGCTTCTCTTCGCTACCTCTGGATCTTTCCGTGGCTTTGAGAATGTTAATATTAGTCGTACAGTTATCCACTAATCCTGACTTGTCTGGGGCACCTCGAGGTGGTGTAATGGTTAGCAAGCTTGTCTCGCTAGAACAATTACAACTGAGTAGTGAGTTCGATCCTCACTGGGTGCTACCTACTTTCGGCTTTGTGCCGCATCTAAGCTACGCTTTGTAAATCACTAACCCTGGCTTGTCTGTTGAACATACTCCAGCCATCTGTTGCTAATGTGTCTGTATAGATTAAATTCTGCTTCCCGTGTCGTCTTAGGAAGGAGGGTGATCATGGCGCTCCACAATTTCCTGTGCGATGTATCTCTTACCAAGTTATGTCTTTTTCCTATCTTCCTGAATCCCTGCCCTGACAACCATTTACACAAGCTTCTTATTTCGGTTATTCGCTGTTTTCCTTTGTCCGTCTCGCTTAAAATTTCCTGTGAGTATCAAATTTTCCAAGCCCTCTTTCCACATTATGTGGCCTATAAATTTCAACTATCTCTTTCGGATGTCATTTTTGAATCCATTTTCTCTATTTATTTTTTTTAATTTTTTTTTTTTTTTGTTTCTCTCATGTTCAGTTCATGGCATTCTCTGCATTTGTCTGCAGAATCAGATTTCTGTTTCCTCAAGTCCCCGTTTACGGCCCTAGAGCATTGAAATACCGCTTCCCGTACGATCACCGAAGTAAAGCAAAGTCGAACCAGGTCAGTACCTAGAGAGATGACCGCTTAGGAATACCATGTGCTGTAAGGTTAGATGTGCGGGTGGTGTAATGGATAATGGCTCAGAATTGTTAATCAGAGAGCCGAGTTCAAATTTCAGTCGGGTTCGTTATATCCACTTACGCGCAAATACCGTTAGGAAATGTATGAATATATCGCTTCTCCCCCATCTATTGGTTAATTAGTAAGAATTTTATCACTATATCAATATTATCTCAAAAACATTCTTAAAATCTAAAACATATTTTCTGGATTTTAAATAACCTGTAAAGGTTAATAAACCGTAATAAACGAATTACTCAATCAAAAAAATTCTCATATGTGATGAGAGTGTTCAGCATTCAAAGCCATATAGGAGTACAACTATTACATATGATGTAATGGAATAACCAGTTACCCCATGAATAATTGCACTATAGGTAATAAGTATCTATAAAGTCAACTGTCTACGAGAGACTTGGAGAAGAGTATGAGAGAAAATAGTGTTCTCTCCTGTTCTTCACTGTCGAACTCTTTGCCTTGAGCAGAGAGGAACCTGGACGAGGCTTTGTCGAAGGGCAAAGTTTCGTCCGGGGAGGTAGACAGACCCTGAACCCGATTATGCGCTTTCTAAGGGAATATTGTTGGCCGAGCATACGGGCTTGGAGAACCCACTGTAAACTCGGCCTTGTGCCACATATATCCCTCGCGGGGAGGCTTTTAAATATTAAGAGTGAGAGAGAGACGACACAAGCATGTCTGACCTTCCAATTAGTGGCACCCATTGCTAGATTGACCTGTAATGTATAACTGTACCGTATTTCATATTGTACTTGTTGTGTACAATAAACCTTTCTTCTATTATCCACCTGGTGTTATGTGTTTATTCCCTTAACACGGAATATAACAACATAAAAATGAGGTACCCCTATCTTTGTTTTTTATGAAATTTTCATCTTTCTTAATATCCTAATGTGTATTCGGATTTCAGTGCCACATTCTTTGCCCGCTGTTTAAACCTTTCCTAGACATTTAAATTTTGTACTTCTTTAAATATATCTCCAATGTTTAATTCGCGTGTGAAGCCGTTGCTTTTACTAAAAACCATAATTTCTGTCTTCTTACAATTGATACTTAGTCCTTTCTTCTCCCTTTCCTTTACTATTTCTCTAGGAGATCTTGTATTATTCTTTCTGTGTCTACTATCTGCTAGCATCTTTTAATCTGCATATCATGTTGTTAATATCGTTCCCGATGATTAAAAAAAAATACTGGTAGTATCTCCAGCTCCATCATGATAGCGTAAAAGTTGAATATATCTGGTGAGAAGACGCCACATTGTCTTGCGGCCATTTTGCATACTTACTTCATTTCCTATCCGTATGGAAGCGGTTAGCTTCAAAAGTTCCGGATTATTCTAACATTCTTTTAAATAAATCAAATTTTCCAAGCTGTTAAAATAAATCCTTATGACGTATTTAATCAAATACTTTTCCGTCACTTATAAAGCATAAGTATAAATCCTTTCGCCTGTCCCCCCAAAAATTTGCAAGGGCTGACCTAATTCTCTGCAAATGATCAGAACGAGGCTAGGGTCGCCTTGAGTTATATTACTTACAACAGTTAACATACGTAAAATAGTAAGCAACATTATTTCATGTCATATGATGTGATTTGATGTTGCTCTGTTTAAGGTACAGCATAGGGAAATTAGTCTAATTGCAAATACAGGTGAACTTGCGAAGTTTGACAAAATATTAGACTACCTATTGCTAAGTTTTGAAGGATATTCGGTAATATTCACGAGTCGTTTTGTACACCTGCTAATCTAACGAAGAACCATACTATCTTTTAGATTTTCATTCATTCGATATGTAAAACAAGTAATATGCCACATCCAAATATATCACTACCTCTGCTAGATACATCATTTTCGCATATAAGACCCGTAAGATGTTTCGAGACATCTTTATACAAAAAGACAGGTTTTGTAAGTCACAAAATAAAATAATCAGAACTTGGCAATTAATTTATCAAGAAGAAACTAGCTGAGAAGCCAAAAGTGATTGAATCTCATTACATGGGTAAAATCACGTACAAATTATGGATGACACGTGTTAGCAAAAGTATGCAATGCCTACTTAAAGAAGTGAGTCAATTTAGAAACAATTATCAGCTAAGCTCAAGAATAGAAATAATTGCATCATAGAGCACCATACATAATGGCAACTGGAACTCATCTGAAAAGAGCAGAACATCTAATTTAAATCAAACACCAGACTCATGTGTGCATTGCATTCTCAATTTGTACGCCTGGAAATCGAGATAATTAACAGTGGAATGGCAACGAAGAATCCAAGCATTACAAAAGAGATTCTACAGAATCAAGTGTGGCATTTACTCCATAGATCGTATCACAAATTATAACACACTTTTAGACCTTTTCATTCCATATGTTTAAATTAGTAGATGAAATAAAACGATAAATACAAGCATTAGACATGACGTGCTACAGAAAAATCTTACATAGATCGCAATGCAAATCATACAGCACATTTAGAATTATTTGCATTTGGTATGTCTAAATTAACAGTAGAATAAAAATGAAAGGTTCGAGCATTCGAAAAGAAAATTCTGCAAGACCATCTTTGGAATTTCTTAAATAAAATGCCTGAAAAAAACATACAGCACTTTTAGACATATTTTCATTCTATACGTCTAAACTAACAGTAGAACTACAATGAAGAATCCAAACTTTAGAAATTTATTTCTGCACAATCATCTTTGGCATTTCCTACACAGATTGCATCACAAATCATGCAGCATTCTTAAAGCTTGTTTTCATTTTTTATGTAGAAATTAACTGTAGAACTACAGCGAAGTATACATGCATTAGAAATTAGATTCTGCAGCAAATGGCCTTTCATACATAGACCACACCACAATCGACGATGTGTGAAACAGCATCAGGCACGTCATAAGAAACAGCACTCTTTTCACTGTCTGTCTGGTGTGGTAGCACCCGTTAGGATCTCAGCTAAAGGTTAATATTGAACCATGAAACAAAAATTAACCGCTCATTTTATAACAAAATTAATATCAAGACATCTTTATAACAGAATGGCAATCTATACAAAACAGAAAAAAAAATTCGTCACCTTGTCAAAAATGAAAATGAAATTTCAGTAATTTATCTTCCGGAATTAAAAATATATTTTTTTAATCTGATAGATCAAAATTCACGATTTCTTTAGTCTGAAATTTTCACTTCAACTGTCCTGAAAATCTATCTTTCTGTTTAATTTCAATGATTTGTTTTCGTTGTTATATTTTAAAACTGAAATATTTTTGAGCAAATTTCGTCATGATGCCACACTATAATATACAATTTTTGAAATCTTAAAGCCAAGCAAATAATTGTCAGAGTTTAGAGAAAAATATTTTCCTGGTTGTCATAAAATTCACGAGTCAGGTATATTTTTTAGAATCAAAATCATTTGATATATGAATATACACAGTGCTACTGCTACTGTGATTGTTTTAAAATATGTAGTTCGTGATAAACTGCAATTTAAGGCTCTTTAATGTCTGAAGAAAAATAAGATTTTCCAAAGATTTTCCGTAGTAAAATAACCTACATCTTATGATCTAAAATCTATATATCTAAAAATCATGCCTTTACCCTAAGTGTATAAATTAATGTACATGGTATCTGTATTTGCATGCATAAAATTGCATGGGGAATGTTTACATTTCGACATTAAGTAACCCAGAGAGGTGTTGGTGTGCCGCTAAACGAATTCAGCCAACCAACATGCCAACTGCAAGCCTACAAGATTTAATGATTAATGAATCTAGACTGTTTGATACCAGACGATATCAAATGATGTGATTCTATTTAAATTCAACATCGATTCTCGTCAGATCACTGTAGTTAAGCAACGTCAAACCTGGTCAATACTTGAATGGGAATACCAAGTGTTGTAAACTTGGATACACGGTTAGTTTAATGAATAACGGCTCCGAATAGAAAATCGGGGAGCTGAGTTCGAATTCCAATCGGGTTCATTATATTCACTTAGTCGCAAATGTCATTGTGAAAATTAAGAATCCACGTCTCCCACCCCTGCCAATTCGTGGGACTCATATCAATAAATCATTATTATCTCCAAAAAAATTCTTTCAATATGAAAATATTTCCTGGCTTTAAATAACCTTACAAAAGTTTGACAAACCTTTAAAAAGAAATCAATAAATCAACCTATTTACATTTAAGATACTTTCTTAAGTCATTTTTTTATATTTATACGTTCTATGAGAGAAAATGAGAGAAAATCATGGAGAAAATGAGAGAAAATCATGTAGAATTGTGTTTAGAAAAACAGTAAAATCGATCTTGCTAACCGAACGCTCCTCTGTAGCACAATCGGTTAAGGCACGCCACGCTATATGACGGTTCCGTATAGGATACAGGTTCGATTCCTGTCGGAGAACGCATATTTTCTATGAAAATTTCTCAGATATTCAGGTCGGTAAATGTTATTAATACTGTTTATTATAAACAGAGCATTTACTTAAATATTTGTATCTATAAAAAGAACGTATAAACATAAAAAATGTCTTAAAATATTTAAGATACTGTAGAAAATTTGTGCACTTATCTTAGCAAAACTCTTGTTGGGAGAGAGAAATGAGGGAATTCAAGTGTTATCTTGAGACGAAAATAAAATGGAAGATATTATTTCGTCTTCACAGAAAATTTATAGAAATGACTTCCAGTCGATCCCATCTGATTTAATATCGTGAAAATTTGCATATGTGTTCGAAGGAAGATATATAAAATGCTAAAAGGCTGTGTAATGACATAAAGTACGCAGGTGTAGTATTTAAGAAAGTTTATTTATGAGAATAAAAGGATCGCGTATAGTGTATTTTTATAGTCCAAGTAAACGGAAATAGCTCTCTCAAAGAGGAGAGTAACAAAACAAGGGGAGACCACTCTTGATTATTTATAACAGACTGTATTTTTTCATCCTTCATTACGGCCGT